TGGACCCTCAACTTCTTCCTTCATTGATGTTACGGAGGAGGAAGTAACTCTTGAAGCCCATTCCAGCGGCGACGAAGACCCTCTCGGCCCCATGATATAAAATCCTCCTCTTCCTTCTCCTCCCCCTCCATCATCTCCTTAAGCCTTCGAGTACATCTTCCAAAAGTAAATTAAACTTCATTTTATTATACTTATATAAACCTTAAACATACTTATATAAGCCTTAAACATACATTCCACACAAAATATAGCACTGAAGCAACTTATGAACAAATTCAGCTAACGAACGATCCTTCGGAACGTATCTCGTTCGTAAGCTGGGGAGCATCTGTATATAAGATAAGAAAACCTTTATTTGTCTCACACATGCACAAATAAATTGAAAAAAAACTGTCCACAGTACAGAATGCAATATAAAATATAAGATATAAGCATATACGCAACTGCATATATGCTGCATAAGGTGGCTGTGCTATTTACAATGGGCGAGTGGGGGGTGAGTCCAGGTTTTCACGTGTGTTTATTCAGCAGCCTGACAGCAGTCTGCAGGGACGTGCGGCAGTACCCCCCCCCTCTCTCTCTCTATGTGTGTGTGTGTGTGTGTGTGTGTGTGTGTGTGCAAGCACGCACGCACGCAATGAATTTGTTCAGTTTTGGAATTGTATTGTCACTATCATGGCAAATTCCAGTACATTTACTATGCTGGAAATTCTTTTGTGCCCTACTCCTTACTGATTAGCTTTAAACAGTGATATCCCTCTGATGCTGTGGAAGCTCTCTGCGGACTATAGCTAGTGCTGGAAGATATGAATAGAAAAATGTTAGAGAAATACAGTACCACAAGAAACCCTGAACTATAATTGGGGTTATTCAGAGGTCCTGTAAATTGTGCCACGTGTGTGCTGACTCCCATTTAAAATGAATCTGAATGGAAGTGGTTAATTCTGAACCCTGCCACATCAGAATGCAAGAGGCTATGCTTTTACACTCTCTTGGTTCGTGTGTTTGAATTTTGGATTCCATAAAACCAAAATTGAACATACTGTCCAAATAGTTTTACGTTTCCTTGCCAGAGATTCTGTGTATTAATATGATGACCTTAAACTCTTCACCTTGCAGAGTTCGGTACTTTGTAGTAACTTTCTAGTTGCGTCAATTAGTTTCAAGTCCAGCATCATCTTTCAATGTTGAAGTGAAAACGAATGGCTCTTGCTGTCCAAACACAATGATGCGAACTGATCAAAAATTTTATCCACGTTTCTGTGGGGGAAACTTTGCGGGTTTTCCCGCAGTCAAAGATCTTGTGATGAATGCTGTAATTGCCTAAGCCTCACATTGTTCTTATGGTCTGTGTGTGGTGTACTGAATTCATCAAGAATAATGATGAGTCTCACTCTTGGTCAGACGAAAAATGTGCATCCACCATAAAGGGGTAAAAACAAGTCAAAATTGACATCAAAAAGTCAAAGTTGAATAAAATACAAATAAAATACATCGTGAGCCGCCATGAGTTCCACATCATCTGTCCTCACAGATTGTATAGGACTTGATGTCGTTCCTAAAGAACCCTAAATCCAGCACTTGTGGTCTAACTAAGAGCAGATGTCATCGGGTTAGTTTGTGTTTATCTTCTTGAGCACATTCCTTTTTACCATCTCCATGTGTCTGCCCTGCTGTGGCTGTCTCACAGTTCAGTGTCTATACAGCTGGAACCCAGAGCAGCGACTTGGCTGTTAGAACCTCAGCGGAGAGCCCAATTGGTGAGTTTTCACCAGCCCCACTGTTGTTTTTTTTTTTTTTAAGTCAAGACAGCTGTGAGTTCCCAATCACATTCAGACA